GTACCTACACAGGCTGCAGGTTGGAAAAAATAAATAGAGCAAATTTTCCTGTGTATCTGTGCCTTCACCCCATTAGATAGGCATGCACACTGAGCAGCTGGCATAGCTTATGGCACTAAACCCCATAGTGTTACCTTCAGTGGGTCTCTGGTAACAGCTTCATTGACAAGGCTGGGATGACACTTCCAGATACACAGGCTGGAATAAGTAATTTTAAGCAAGAGTTGGAAAAACAACAAAGTTATCATGTTTCTAGGGTGTAGTTCCTTCTTCATCTTGGTTGATCATCAAATTGCACGATAATAACAGGTTCCTTGAAAATTGCTCCTAAAACAATAACCTCTTTAAAACCTTCTCTCAGAATCACCCAGTCGGCTGAGAGTATAACTTTTCTATTGCAGGGAATTTCTGTTTGCAATACTTGACAGGGTCGCTTTAAAATATCAACTCCCCCCACACAAATGTATGGCGCTTCTGGGCCCTCCTCCATTCCTAGGCCCATGCAGGAGCATGGGTCATCTTATATCAATGATATTATTTGTGTTACGATTAGGACTTCAGATTAGGGCAATTTATAATTTTCCTTGAAGCGATATGATCGAAACTAGTCAGGGTTTAGAAAAAAGTAGGCTGGCTGCACCAATGCATAGGGTGGTTTTGTTATACGCTTTATTGTTGTGAAAGTATGCATAGTTGTCATATGCAGGGATCATTCTTTGGATTTGAATGTACCCCTGGCAAAAGCTTAAAGCAAAGGTAATTTGCCTACCAAAAGATGGTGCTCTCTATGGATTTACTGAAACTTAATATGATGGAGCTTCTTCTTGGTTTTTAAACCTATTATCAGTTCCCTTAGGCTAGAGAATGGTGTGCCAAAGAGATTACTGTGTCTTCTAGGTGAGGAAGTGAGTTCTTTGTCTTGTAGAGAGAGAGTAAAGCTGGTCATACACATATATTATTTTTTAAAATATTTTATTTTCATTCAATTTGCTGGTTGAAGGGAAAAAAATATAAACGTTTCCTCCATCCACCCTAAAAGCGTGAGCTATTGTGTTCAGAGAGTGGTGGGTGTGCCGCTGTCAGAATACATGAAAAATTGCTTATTGAATAATGCTGGACGGAAGGGTGCCAACAAGGCCACCCACTGTATGAATTTCAGCCCCCAAAATGTGTACAGTGTATGGCCAGCTTTAGGGAACACACATAACCCTCTCTGTCAAATAAAGAACACAACTTTCAGGATTAAAGTATACTGTAGTCATGCTGAATAAAAAATATAGCCAGATATTGGTTAAAAAGATTCCTTTGGGTATGGCTCTAAAGGGTTTAATATCTTGTAGAAGATTTCTTAGATTGAATGGCCATAGTTCAGAGTCTGTCTGACACTTGTTTAACATTGTCAACACTGTAGCTGAGTGGTGAGCCTTGTCACTGTGCAGTATTACATTCCTGAGTGTGATTTCCATCATGGCACCTTCAGGAGTTTATATATTCTGCTCATGTGTTGTGTGGATTTCTTCCTGATGTTTTTGTATTGCATCCCAGAGTCCAAAGTCAAATGGTCGGCTTAAAAAGGCCTTTCCTTTGGTGCAATTAAAATGTAGTGTATTCCTACTAGGGAGAATCAAAAAAGTAAAGGCAAAATACATTTAACAGCTTTATTAGAAGTAACTTTGAGTACTTGAACATGTCACTTTTCCGCATAGTCCCCATACAAGATGATGCACTTGTTGTATCGTTGAACTAGCTTCTGCTTTCCTACACAGGAAGGAGCTTTTCAGCTGCTGCTGAAGCCAGATGTGCACCACTTCCTTTACTTCATCATCCGAGGTAAACCTGTGACCTCCTTCCTTTTGCTCTCCAGGTCGTAGTGGTGCACCCATGTCTCATCCCTGGTGACAATTCTCTCCAGAATACTCCAATCTTCTTCATGCCATCTCAAAAATGTGTGCAGAGTATTAAACTGTTTGGGAACCCATCGTCTGCAGATATTCCTGTATCCCAAGTCATCATGCACTATGGCAAATGTGGATCTATAGCTAATATGGCCAAAGAAAGCGCACAACAGCACATTGTTCTTCGATGGTGCAATTTTACAGCGGAGCGTCCATGTTTCTGTCCACTTGACAACCACTCGACTAAAGTTAGAATGCTGTACTGTGCATGGTCGAACGTCCAACAGGCTATATAAATATGCTGCATTGCGCAAGCTTCTCTCTCTAGCGGTTACCGTGTAATTGATAAATTCCCTTTACTTTTTCATTCTCCCTTGTATTAACATCAAGCCCAGTATATGACATCATCACAAACTACAAAAATCTGTGATCCCTGACTAGTGGGAGCAAAGAGAAACAAAATGCAAAGAGGAACAAAAATAAATGTGTGTGTGTGTGTCTATACAGTATATGCGTGTGTGTTTAACATATGTGTGTGTGTATGTATATATATTGTGGCATTGCGTGGCAATACCACTGTGTTATGTGGCCTCCAAATCTCCATTCCATGGTTCCATGCCTTTTATTAGTGATTAATAGAGCAGGAATAAATGTAAATGATTTTTCATACTTTAAGAGCTATAAAATTTAAACGATATGCAACTGAAGAATATATCAGTCAAGCATGAGAAACATTAATTAGAATAGAAACGAGTGCTATAAAAAAAAGTCTAAAAATGTTTATTTTAGATGTTACCTTTATTTTTCTGCATGTTATATAATATATTTTGGAAATAAGGGATAATCCTTAATTTTACCTCAAAACAATACTGAACGTTTTCCTGAAGCTGAAAAAGAAATTTAAAAAAATAAATAATTTTCTTTCCATGGATCCTTGGACAAGAACTATGCAGGGGTGCAAAGTTTATCTTCACTGTTAAAGTTCAGGCTGTCATGCTTGAGATATTTCTAACTAGGAAAAGTTAATCAGCAATCTGATTTGTGTCTGTCTGCTGAGAGATGCCCCATGCTCCAGCTCCTAACAGCGTCAATATGAGGCTGCTAAGAGCCGCTCAACATTCCATGCTTCAGTGGAAAGAGGCAGAATTACTAACCCCAGCTTCCTGCCCTTCCATCTACACTGGATCACAGTGTCACAAACATCCTGCTTAAACTATGATTCTTTTGGTTTATGACTGATGAAAACCTCTTGGATATTGACCAGCAAACTTTCCAGACCTCCTTTCAAAAATCTAAAGAACAAAAGGGAACACTGGAACAAACTCAAAGGATTTGTCATTCATTCGGTTCCTGTTTTAATAACCTAAAACAATGGACACTAAAACAAAAACCATTTTTACATATATTTAACTCTCATGTTTTGTCATATGTTACATTTTGTTAATGCCTTACAAGCCAGGCGTGTTCATGCCAAAATCAGAATGAAGTAACATGCAGTGCAATCTTGCAGAGATTTAGAACAAAAACTTGTAGGGAAATGCCACCTAATTAAATGTACACTTCTTCATTAAAAAAATGTGCATTTCTATATTTATTTATTTATTTGCATAGGAGCTGGTAAAGCCTTGCAACTGCAATCAGTAGATTGTGGCTGCAGTGCTCTGGCTCCTGCATACTGTTCCTTTCATCCATGTCCGTACCGAGATACATGCAGAAACATGGATGGTGGAAAGTGTCAATAGATTGCAAGTGTGGTGACTTCATTGCACTTGTATTGCATTGAAATTTCAATCCCCACTGCCGCAGTGGCCCTTTGGACTTGTACTTTCTCTATCACAGATTCTGTCAAAGGATCTGTGAATAAATGAATGAATGATGTGGCTTTGTGGGTGAAGCCACACACAGCCAAATAAAATTAGAATATGGAAACAAGGCTGCGGGGAGAAGAACCCTGTGATTGAGGTAAGTGAGGGCATTGTGTTGTGACCATGTTTCATGTTACAACCTAAATATCAGTGTAACATGAAGCATGATCAGAAAGGTAAACTACACCTTTAATATATTGTAGTGTAGCACTCC